TGCAGGAATCAGCAAAGGATAGTTAAAGGTCATCTGGCAGAAATCCTTGAGATCAAAGTACCACTATAAAGAGCCCAAAACCACTCGGAAGCACTGTTGTGGGCCAAGCATGAGACTGGGAAACCTCCATGATTGTTGCATGTGTTTGTTATGACTGTGACATGGTGACATGAAGACTGAACAAAATCTATGGTTCGGGCCGGGGTTTCAGGTTGCTTCAGAATGGAAAGAGCCCTCCCGGCACCTCAGCATCTCATCCCGACCCGCTCGGTCTTTCGGTCGCTGGGCTCGGTTGGATGCATCGATTCGGGGCAACTCGGGTCGACCCTCGACGAAGCTCCCCTGGTGGCCAGGAAGCACGCGAGGGACTTGCCCTTTCGTCAAGGCGGGAGATGCAGGAGAGGGCGGTGAAGCTCAACAATCCCGGAATCAAGGAGCAGGAATGTTTGCTGTGTAAGGCTGTATATGTTGTTTAAATATATGTCAAAATTAGTGCCTATAGAATCTAGCCGCCTAGCCAACCTCAGCTCATGCCGGACCAGTGAAATCAGTTGCTACTTGTACGGTTTGTGCATGTTTACGCTCTATTTGCAAGGACCTGATCTAGTCTTAGATGCCAATTGGGGGCAGCTTTGGGATGGCGAAAGTAGCTTGGATTTAAGGGACATACGGTGACATACGTAGATCAGTCAACCAGAGGCCCAGGTTAATCATCAGGGGCTAGTTGTCCTTTTGTTTTCTCGTAAACTAGCTTGTCCTGTGTGTGTGTGCGTGCACGAACCGACTTATTACATACACATCGCCTCATCAACCTTCCCACTTTTTGAAGGTTTCTGACTTGATGAGTGCCTTCATGGCCCGTGTGACGGGTTTTTTGAGAGACATTACAAAGCACTCGCGGGGCCAAGCCAGTTCAATACCCAATGTCAGATAGTAACATATAGTAATATAATCTGGTTCTTTGGGGTAGAAAGATTGGGAAAAAGCGCACCACTCTTTTCAGCTCCCGTGGCAGAGCTAGTTGATCCATCCACGTGCGAGATGTGTCCCTCATGCTCAAGACGAGTGGTTTCAGGGAGGCGTTCCTCACATTTGGGAGCTCTCTTGAACTGAAGATCTCCGGGCTGGTCCATCCGTGCGTCCTTGACCAGTGTTCCGAACGACCAGAGATCTCTCCACCGCCGTGCGAGAAGCGGATCTGTGCCGGGTGCGTCGTTGCCGGGGTGGGTTGCGACTGACCCCTTCTCGCTGACTCAATAGTAGCTTCTTGCTCCTAGTAGTACGGCCAGGAGCCCCTAGTAGCGTCCTTGCTCCTAGTAGCGATGCCCTTGCTCCTAGTAGCGTCCTTGCTCTTAGCTTGTTTGTCCAACCCAAGAGCGATGGAACCGTGAACGACTCGCCCACCGCTCGCAGGTGACTTCGTCTCATTCGAGGCCTTTGTGTTTCAGGGCCGCTTACAAGGCCTGACGTTTCTCTGCCGAAGAGCGGTGACCGGTCACCATCGATGGTGACCTGTGGTGGAAAGATGAGGGGACCCCTCCACCGTACTGGGAAGGATGGGGTGATGAAGGATTTCCATGCAAAAAGCAGTGGATTGCCTGTCATCTCAGTGTGTTTCACATGTCCAAACCATCAGATCTCGATTGGTTTTTCACTTGAGTGTTTGCCTACCAGCTGGGTTTTGTTGAGAGAGGAATGTGCATTTTGTTCATGTTTGTTGAAAGTTGGAAATATGCCAATTCTGGCAGTGATGATGCGCCCACAAAACAGATTGATAGCAGTGGTCAAAGGATTGGAAACAATGCAATTTAATGCAATGCATCAATTTGTTTCATCGTGTGAGAGTGCACCACGCGGTTTGAAGACGCAAGTGCTGAGAGGCAAGAACCTCACGAAGATTGATGCGCCACCGCCGACAGGGACCGAGCCACGTGATGTCCATTTCGGCTGGTTGGGAAGACTTCGGCTGGTTGGTAGGTTAAGAAGATTTAAGACATGTTCATTTTTGAACAGTGCAGCACATGTTCATCGGTGTTTAATGGTGTTTATATGATGGAACATCTTATTGGTTCGACTGCGGGTTTTGCTTCGCCTGTCCAGTGCGGCGGTTTTCGCCGCTTTAGCTTGGGGCTTCCATCCGTGCCGACTCCCTGGAAATCGCACGAAAGGGAAATAAAGGAGAAGAAACAGGAGCCATCCCACCAGATTGGCCACTTTCTTTCGGGTTGAAACATATGATCTTAAAACCATCACAGTTTTTTGATGGGGACAGTGTCCTGCCAGAGATGTTTTTGTTGGACAGACTTGTTGTTTGGGGTTTGCCGCCTGCCCAAACATCAAAATTGTTTTTGTTCCTTGCGCTCGAGCTTCTACCCAGTTGGCATGGGCCATGTATGCACGACATGCATAGCATCGAGGCCAAGCTACAAGTCAGTCAAACGCTGCCGAGGAAGCCGAGGATATAGGTTGCATCAAACCATCGCCACTGTTTGCAACGTCCATGACAGCAACTGCATGCAATACATACTCTAACAAGACTCCCTGGGGAAGATGCGCGGATGAAGGTGGCAGATTGCATGAGCTTGTGACCCCATGCCCCTTGACGTGACTCGGGGGTCTCGATGCCCATTGGGCCAGAGGATTCCAGGCATCAATCAAACGGACATGTGGAAACAACCGTTTTCAGCCAGCTCTCCTGCTGATTACAGGGGTAACGTGTGCGGGCACAGTTGAAAACAAAAAGAGTCCTTGGAGCCCTCATCCTAAAAGATCCCCAGTCCTGCAGGAGTGACGCTGTCGATTCTGCTCCTGGCGGTCCTGGTAAAGGGGGTGAGATGTGGGAGCCTGCTGGCGCTTGGGAGAATGGCTGGGAGAAAGGCAAAGGCGAAGCCTTTCACATGGCCAAAGGGAAGTTCAAAGAAAAAGGCAAGGGAGCAGCCCCTCGTCTGACAAGAGCAGGGGGGTGGAAAAGAGATGCTGTTGGGAAAGCATGGGCGAGCATGGGACAGATGATTGTTCTCCATGGTTCTTGTTAGTTTTCCACGTGTTGTTTCTGCCGAGGATTCAAGACCACAGTTCTTTCATGTTCTTTGGATAATATCTCGATATTGGGAGATATATCGGGATATCTCATCCGGGTCCCCCGGAGAGAGAGACCCCATTTTCAGAACCTCCCGACACGTCCACCTGTGGAACAGCTCGCTATCTCACCCAACAAAAAGACACCAACCGGGAGGTCCCGATATGTGGGAATCGTGAACCCACCCCATTCAGTTCATTCCACTGCTCCAAGAGCCAACTGCGAATAAAGGACGGCGGTTTCCGATCAAAAACCGGCTCCCAATCATGCGGTGTATGCGCGCAGGCGCGCACGCGTCTCTGGTGTGCACATTGTCTCCCCAAAACCAGCGCTCAACTTTAAGACGTTCGGTGGGGGAGGTCAGCTCACCCCCGAAGTCTGGCCACCTTCGTTTTGGACTCAGCCAGCTTTACATGAAGCCCTTAAGACGGACGGCCGGAGGACCTCTGGCTTTCTCAGGTGGGGATCAACCCGATGGCCATGATGATGGCCGGGCGGCGCGGGCGGTGTGGTGATACCTGTGGATGTTTGGCCGGATGGGGCGCAGGAGTTTCGGTGTCAGGTTGGTTTATAGGGTGTTTGGAGGCACCGAGGGCCGAAGAAAGCGGTTCTTAGCGAAGTGGGTGGAGGAGGTACTGAGGAGGTCTGGGGCTGGGTACGAGATCCGAGAAGCTAAGCATGGCCTTAAGGAAGGAAGAAAGAAAGAAAAGTAGAAATAGGAAACCAAAAAGGTTTGGAGTCTACAAGGTTGAAGAACAAAGGAAACGGATTCATCAAAGTGGAGGAAAAACACAAAGCTCTCAAGACGGCATGCAAAGTTCGAAGAAGTTTATCATGTGACGGAGCAAGGTCTAGTTGTTCGAGTTGTTGGTTGATGTTGGTTGTCCACTTTTCATCCACGGGAATCTACATGGGGGAGTGGGTGCGAGCCCATGCGAGGTCCCCCGAGATTGAACATGATTACAGGCTAGGGCAACATCTGTGAAGTATACTTTTTGCATTTGCCAATCTACTTAAGTTTTGTTTCACCAGCGGGATGAAACAGTAAGACGTTGATTCATCCACAAGTCCTATAGCCCACTCATATTGCAGCCGTGCTACCAAGGCCATGATGGGCATGGGCGGCAAGGGGTGAGAGTTGCTGGGGTTTGGAATGAAGTAAAGAACACATGCAGCTTCTTGCTCCTAGTAGCGATGCCAGGAGCCCCTAGTAGCTTCTTGTTACTACTAGTAAGGCACTTGTTACTAGAAGCGATGCACTAACTCTGGAAAAGCAAAAGGAAAAGCCTGGGCCACTGAAGCCATCAGAAACCTTTCTGGCTTAAGAGGGTCGGGGGCGAGGCTCAAGAGCGTATTGAATATGTTATGTCTCTGAATAGGTTCCTGACTTCAAAACATCCTTAATTGAAGCTTCAGCCCGAACCCCAGACTAGGAGAGAATAAGCGCAAAAGTAAAAAGGGTGAGGCAGAGCGAGCGAACCAGGTGGGATTGCGGTTGGAAGTGTTTGCTCGGTACTCACAACAACATCCTGAGCATGAAGACATCTCCTTAGTCCTTGAGGAGGCACTTCTTTTCAGACGCAGCTTGAGATGATTTAGTAAGGATTTGAGACATATATAATATATATACATATAGACATCATGCAGTCCGTTAACATTGTCATTTCCACCAGACATGATGTGGAACCTGAGGAATGACATGGAATGACTCATGTGGTGACACCGTTGAACGGTACGCCTAGGTGGCATGAACGGTATTTTGGGGCATGCTTCCCTCAAGGAAAGATTCTCACAGGATATGTATCGTTTTGATTCCAAATTCTGCTCCCACTTCCATGTGTCTTCCCACCCACAAGTGCAACTGAAGAGTTCGTTTCATAGCCCCCCTTGCACAGCATGACCGCGCCCTCTTATTTTGCACAGTCTTTCGGCTTTGAAGTGGGCTGAGTCAGCCTGGAACGTCACACGCTCAGCACCTGAACGTCACGTCACGTTCACCGCTCCCAGCGGATGGCACACTCCGAGTCCGAGTTTTCGATGGTCTCCGTGGCCAGGGATGCCACGGATGCCGCCACCACCCGGAGCCCCTTCGAGTTGATGAAGCCACTTAGCTTCTCCAAGGAGCTTTTGTGTTAGGCATTGACCTTGAACACGCGCAAGTGTCGGCAGTGCCACTATGTGATAATGTTTACATTCGACGAGAGAAGTTCTTCATAGACAATGGCCGCGCCGATATGGTGCCTGTATATAGAGTTCTCTCCCCGAAGTCATGAGGCTTCATTTATCTTTCGCCCAGAAGTCTTCCATGAAAACCCACCCCAAAATGTCAAAGCCGGACGGCCCAAAAGTGTTTGAGAGTGGAAAGCAGAGAGCAAGGATCGGAGAAGAGCAGGAGAACGAATACCTCCGAGATGCCGCCGATCGACTCAGCGTTGACTTGTGGGGCCCAAGCGTCCACGATCGCATTCGGGCGCTGGCCGAAGGGTCAGGTCCAGACGTGCAAACGCGGCTTCAAGACTTGACGTCCAGCTTCCAGAAGGCCAGGGTTTGCACCAGAAGAAGGGTGGGTCCCCAGTGTTGTCCGACGAATATGGCCTTATTGTCTTCCATGCCCCTCCAGAAGTCGAATTGGAATTGTCAATTGGAATTGTGGAGCTTGTGGATAGTACATGATAGTACTGTAGACTGTAGACTTAGTAGACTGCTGTTGGCCCTGCAGATGAGGATACAGTATTTATCAACTTCTCAGAATGCCTGTGACCCAAGACACAGCCAGAACGTTTTGTTCAGTGTTTTCTTGTTTCATTGTCTCATGCATCGCAAAATATATAGATGTCCGCCAGTCTTTGCAGATCTTTTTTTGAAAGGTCACTTGCAAGCGCATCTTCAGTATGCGGCTGAACATCAAGAATATGGCCTACACGGTGTTCGAGCTTCTTACACGCGAAGTGCAGGGTGATCAAGAAGTACCAGAAAAAACCTGCATGAAGTTGGAGGTTGGCTGCCGAGTCATGTTCAGAATATGTTTATTTCTGACCCAGTGTTTAGCACAAGGTTCACAAGTTGGATTTGGGGAACTTCTACAGACGTACCAAGAAAACTGAAACTGTGCGGAAGCTCACAAAGGATTTCTCCAGGCACAAACTCGTTGGAAGGAGGTTGGGAGAGTACCTTTGAAACCTCATGTAGCAGCAGTTCAGAGGGAATCTTTCTGATGTGATATGAACTTTTGCAGGCGACGAGAAAGCAAATAACTGCGGAGATTGAGAAACAATTGGAGGACTTCAGCATCCGCAGCAAGAAGCACGGACAGGAGGTGGTGGCGTTGATGGGCGAAGCCAAGGCAAACTTCTGGCACTGCGCTCTTGGGTTGAAAGGCGCCCTCGCAGTTGGTACATGTGGTGCAGTGGTTGCTCGCTTGCTATATTTGGCTTCTTTCCGACCCGAAAGGCTTGCTTGGACCAGTTTTGTGAATCGTTGGTCCAAGCCAAGCTACAAGGATCCCTCAGGAAGAATCCACTACCAGAGACTGACCGCAGAGGAGGGTGGTATCAGACTTGAGGCCAGGTGGGCCCTGAGCTTTTGGTGTGGTATCCCCGTTCTGGCAATTCTGTTCGGCGGACTCGGTGCCCTTTGGGCATACCGCAGCCTGTGTCAAAAGAAGGTTGCAGAGACAGAGGCGGATGCGCACACACTCTTGAAAGCTGACATAGAGCGACACAAGAGGATGTGGGAGGGAATCCACATTGCAGTGCACTCAGTGGAGCACCATTTCCAGACTCTCCAAAGCCTGGGCGAAGACCAACCACTGCATCGCCAGGAGACAATCAAGAACCTCGTACGGTCCCTATGGGCAATGCGCATCTTGTCCCAAAATCGACAGAATTTCCCCAGTGAGTCCCAAGTAGCTAAGTCGATCCTTCAGTTCTTGAAGAATTCGCCTTATAATCCACCCAGCCTTTTTCATTTTGAGAGACAGATTTGGTTCTCAGGCATGGGCATTGACGAAATTTGCGTGTGGATGAAAGAGAACGGGTGCTTCCCACCCTCCTACAGCGTGCGCAATGAGATCGGACATGTGCTCCATGACCGGATTGTGAGCGTTTTCAACCAGGTGAAAGGCAAGGCTGGGCGCCAAGAGTGTGCTCAAATTGGAGTTGCATGATAGGGATGTGGGATGGTCATCCATTGCAGATGAAGGCTGACCAACCTACACAATGGTGGAACAAGCTTGAAACTCTCATGTCAGTCATGTCAGCGATTTGGACCATTCCGCATGGATTATGGCGGGCAGATGTCATCCAAAGAGACGGTTAGTTCATACAGACTTGTTCATGAGAACATGTTGAATCATCACGACTGCCGTGAAGCTGCTTCCTGTGTTTTCTTCGGACAAGACACGGGACACTGCTCTTGGTTCCGCCCGGCCCGTTGGACTAGGCCAAATGGGGTCAGAGATCAGCCAGTTTTAGAGGATGTTCCCCACCACAAGCTTGCAGAAATGTTACAAACATCCCGGAAGCCCACACAAGTGGAAGTGGCATGCTGTGGTTCCTCAAGATGAGCTCGATCAGGGCCGGGAGGCGGAAGCGAGAGCGAGGCGAGAATCTCCTGAAGATTCTGCACCACTTGGATGTTGTGAAAGTCACGCAGCAAAATCCGAACTCAGAATCTTTTCACGTGGTTTCTGGGCTGGTGCAGGAGTTCTTGCTATTGTAGATTCATTAGATGCATTGATTGTCGCATGCGTTGTGCCACGGCAAAAGCTTGAACACATATTTGTCTGCCTGTCAGACTGTTGCTTACACGATTCCTCACATGGTGGTCAAACAGGATTCTATTGTGGAATGACCGATATGGCGACACCTCGTTGAACGCCCTGAGCGGCATGAGCAGTTTTTTGGACATGTTTCGCTCGAGGAAGGATATTCACAGGATACAAGTGATTAAACAATACATAAAAATACATATATATATATAATATATGTATTGTTTCGATTCCAAATTGTGTTCCCGCTTCAATGTGTCTTACCCCAACTATGTAACTGAAGAGTTCCATGTGTGTTTTTACTGCGAAGTTTTTCCAAGCTGGCTCTCGGGGTCGCAGCTGCGACAGGGGTCGCTGCGCGATGGGGTGCGGTAGCTCACAAGCTGCCGCTGCGGCGCTCCCAAAGGCGCCCATACAGGTGAAGAAGATCCAGGCAACCCAAAGCACTGCCAAGCAGGTCGCGGTGGTTTTGCCTGGAAGCTATCTCAAGTTGCTGGCAGAGACCCGGCTTCTCAGTTCAGCTGCCATGAATTCATGTATGTAGGGATGCTCAAGATGTTTTTTTGGTAACCTGGGGTTCATTGGACGGCATACATGCTCCTACAGGTTGGCTTTTTGGTCGAAGGTAATGGGAGATATTGCCGACCGTGATGTATGTCCACCTTTCCTTATCACAAGGTATTCAAATTTGATTGATGTGACAGACCATGCATCGCATGAATGGCCTGGAGAAATAAAAGGATTGAAGACTGCACACCGAATCTTCTTGTGGGCTCTTCTTTCGCTTGACCGTTGCGGAGCCGGTCGCAGCCCAGGAAAATGAGCACTATACCTATCACATCTTGGACCCTTGGATCGCTGAATGGCTTTTCACCTTCGAACAAAAAGAGCTTTCCGCTCGCGCGGAGTGAAGACTGAAGACACGGGTTTCGATCCTCCGAACGTTTTTGTTGACGTGTCCGACGTGTCAGTCATTCGCTGTTGTCAGAAGAACCACAGACACCGGTTGATAGAAGACACCTTCAGAATTTCACTGTGTAAGTGTTTATGCTCGATATGAATTTCTGGGGGTGTTTGGTGACTGGGCATTTCAATGATGTACCTATGTGTGCCAACTGATCCAGGACCAAGAGACATTCAGTATGTTTCGACCCTTTCACTTTCACGTGGATTCCTTCGTGGAAAGCGCCATCGAGTACTGCAAGGCCAATCAGATTGAGGCCAGCACTCCCAGAAGTGGGCAAATAGGGAGACAAGCACTCCCTGATGTGTCACTCTGATCGAGTACTGCAAATAGTCACATAGAGCCACATCAGGGTGACATGCAGTATTTGCAGGTTGGAAGTGGCCAGGCACCATCCAAAGTCCAAAGCACCACTTTGATTTGTGCCACCTCCAGTAGGAAATTCAAAGAGATGTATGGTGAGGGTGCTAGACTTGTGGCGAACGCACACTCCCTCCGTTTTACCTCAAGTGGTTCGAGAATGCCTTGTCCAATGAGTCCTTTTTTGCTCGGGCAAACGATGTGTTTCACAAGTGGTTGCAAGTATTGCAATGTATTAACCACATCATTTCTCAACTGACACCAGACGCTCAACCTATATCCAACAGCATGGACTCAAACCGAACTTGGGTGGTAGACGAAGCTGAGGTCACTCAGCCAATTTGGTACAAGGTGAAGAGCCCGTTGCTTTCCTCCATAAACGACGTTCGCAATTAAAACATAATAAACCACAATTTCACAATTATATAAGGATTTTTGTCCGCTATTGAAGGGCGCCCTTTTTTCCGGGCAATCTGACCTTGTCCTGACGTTGGTCTTTGTAACTTTTGCATTTTTGGTGGGGTTGTTTAGCAGCACTTGTCCAGTTGGGACATTCTGTGACACTTTATGACGCCTGTGTAGCTTCCACCTCCCAAAAAGACCTTGCGACCCCGTCACCCTGCCTCTTTGAGTTCGGGAGGGTGTCTTTGGCTTCGACTGCTTTCCGAGCTTGGTCGCTTCCATCATCAATACGTGGCTTGGACCATCAAAAGGCTTAAACTAAAAGGCATGCATCGACGGTTGCTGTTGGTTGGTCTAATACTTGATGTCCTGTGCTGCTGATCCTTGAATCACAAGAACTTGTTCAACCATTCCATTCATCTCAGGATCATGGAATATATTGTTAAGAGGCTGTGAGTTGAAACGTGTTGAAGACAAACACCAACTTTAAAAGCAAACAATCTAAGGCGAAGGTGCAAGGCCCAGGTGTTCTGTGGCGTGACAATTGGAATTCTGCCTGTCAACATGTAGTTTAAGGAACTCCCTAGGTCACTCTTGGAATCGACGATTGCATGAGCTGAATCACATGATGGTTAACTGTTTTGACAAATACATAGTTCTCCCCTCCATATTGACATCTTAAAAAGAGCACTTTCTTGATTCAAGCACATTTTTCAGGAGTTTGTCCTTTGTTTTTCCCGGTCCCTCCCCGGATCCCTCCGCCTGTCCAACCCCCCGCGCGATCCTGCCTCAGGTCCCTGAATCTGCCAGGACCCTCCTTTCGGAGCGTCTTTCATTGCATTAGCAAGTACTACATGAGGCGCATGGGCCGGAAGGGGCCATCCGGATGCCCCATCCTGGTTGCCTTGCCATGACACGTGTTTATTGCTTGGGATCCTTAGGATCCTTAGGATGCCTCACTATCCCTTATGCATTCATGTGGTGGTGTCTTTTTTGGTGTTGGTAATTAAATTACCGGGGACTGGTGGCTTTTTGGTGCTAAGCACCCACACCAGCAGCACTGAATTGGGTACTAAGATATGCGCCTCTCAGGGCTTCTCCTCTCATCTCACACAGTCACACAGCAGCAGAAAGCCCTCCCAACCTGGGGCCACCAGCCAGCCCTACCAACCCCAAAGCAGTTGGTCCTTAGCCTCTCGTCCCGGTTGGTAGGAAGGAGCTCTCGCCGCAGATTCCGATGACGGTGATCGACCCGCGGAAGGCCCAAAGAAGACGTCGGTGAGGGGGTGCAGAAAGATCAACATGTTGGCAGGTGTTTGGGTAGAAAGAGATGTGTTTTTCTTGGTTTCTTGAGAACAACGCATGCTTGTTCAAAGAGGCAAAGAGGTGCTTGAGCCAAGGGCCAAGGCGAGCATAAAGCTATAGGCGTGCTTGACAGAAACATGTACACGACGTGGTGTCAAAGACCTGCTAATCGAATTGTTAGGGAAAAAGAACGTATAGCTGTTCTTGATATACGTGTTCATTCTGTTGTTGTTTTTTTCCGATTGTTCCTTTGGACTCAACTTATTGGACCTTTATAGACAGAAGGCAGCGAACAGCATCAGTGCACTGTCCAGGCTTCGCCGCCCCAGAGCTTCCCTGTGGTGATCAAAGAGTGCCTCGGCACCGAGCCACGTCGCCCGTCGCCCGTTCGTGACGGAACTGAATCCCGAAGAGCGGCCTGCCAGGACTCCAAAGTCGGGTCACATGGATGAAGCTTCTTGTTACTACTAGTAACAAGTGCCACGCTAGTAGTAACAGGTGCCTTACTAGTAGTAACAAGAAGCTATTAACTTAACATTAATTCTAATAGCTTCTTGTTACTACTAGTATGGCACTTGTTACTAGAAGCGATGCACTTGCTCCTAGTAGCATCCTTGCTCCTAGTTGGAAGAAGCAGTGTTCGCTGTTTTTTGTTTCATGCTTTAAAGACATCATATGAGAGATAGTTGATCGAAGAGTCCTTTTGTCCATCAAGATCAACCAGCATGAATCAAGGAGAATTTGGCATGTTGGTCATAGATGATCATAGCTAGCAGCTAGATGATCAATGTGCAAGACGGTTCCATAAGCAGGACTTTAGATCAACCACCGTGTACCGGTGGTTTTGGCCTCGGTCGGATGAAGGACCTCTTTTAATTTCTCCTACCGGATCACTTTAGCACCGAGTCCCTTGGTGGATGAGTCCCACTGAACTGATGGAGCCTCAAAGCTTCATCTTCCCAAAGATGCTTGGCAAGTGCTCAAGACCTAGGCCCCAACCAATCCCCCTCCTCCCACGGTTCTCCAACAGTTTTGTCCTCACTCTTTGAGAAACTGACTCGTCCGCTCATTAAGGATCGACTGCCAGTTCTATGTGGGCACCTGGATCATCGAGAGCGAGGAACAGTGGCATAGTACCATGAAGATCCTCCAGTCTCGCTCCAGCGAGGAGATCAACGCGCGGAAGACGCTGGGCATCGTGGAGAAGCCGGATGAGCCGTGATGGCCTTCCAGTTGAAGGTTGAATCGTTGGTATTCACAGGTGCGACAAGGGCAGTTTGCTGTGACCCTGTTGAATGGTTTTGCCAACAGCTCTTTAAGGCGCGAGCTGTTTGGAACGAGGTAAGGTACATCCAAAAAGGTTACTCCAACTGAGCGCATGTTCAGACGAGTTCAGGGGGTGTCCCTTGCTGAAACTGTGTTTATCTAGTTCAAATTTCATGTGCATCTTGGCACTGCAACAGAATCATTAGAATTTGATAGAATTTGATACTGTACAGTCGGGAAAGCTTCAGTGCTAGTTCTGGCAAGACCCTGATCACCAGCCATCAGCACACTCGGCACACTCCGCACACCTCGAATGGAACCCACAATGACCATGGGTTTGGGGCAGTGCGAGCCATCCAGATGCTTGCACGTCGCTGGCTTTCGCCAAGGAAGTTCTACTTCAAATGGTTCCAGAAGCTGCATCCGAGCCTCGTTTTCCATCCGGAGTGTGGGGTCGAAGACTCGGAAGACTTCGCTTGGTAGAAGAAGCTGTTTGGTTTCTGGGGCCGAGATGTGGGAGTCATGAAGTAGTCATGCAAGGTAGTCATAGAGCATCATAGAGCTTGTATGTTTGGGACTTTGGGCTGAAGAACAAGACCTGGGATGGGACAGACGTTGACCAAGAGCGACACACGAGTGGCTTCGGACATCTTCGGGACAGAAGATGCAACAAGAACGCATTCTATTTTGACCCACTATACTCTGTTCATGCTTGAGCACAAGCTTTCGAGAAAATGTGATTTGAAGAGGTGGCAATCCTACAACTTCCACCACTAAAAACATTCATACATTTTTCTTTCACAGTTTGAGAACCATGGGAGAATTTGGTTGTGGAATGGTTATCGCGGATTGGCTATCCCCAAACTGCTAAGGCCAAATCATTGCTCTATTAACCATGCATATTATGTCCATGGTCATGATTAGCCACCACCTGGAGTGGAATTCCAAGAATTGACGTCTTTTGTACGATCATTTCCCCACAACCATGTGTCCATGGTGGGTGCTACAAAGTTGTACAAGCATCAAGAAGTGCATAATCGATGCGATAACATGATATTGAAGGAACATAATTCACTTATATCCACTTGTATTTGATTGCTTTTGATTGTATTGTATTCAGTGGATGTCCAACTCGTCTCAGATCTCATGGCATCTTTTTCATCCCACACCTGGTCACGGTGCCACTGGTCATCACATGTCACTCCAGAAGCGCTGGGTTTCTAGCTGCCGGGTTTCTCGCTGTCCGCAAGGAATGAGATGCCGGTGTCACGTTGGGAAGACTTTGTGATCTTTCACATGGAGCCCTTCCTCCCCGGTGACCGGGACGAGAAGCATGTGGGCTGTGTGGGTCAGAGAAGATGGTGTTCTTGTGCATTGTGCTTTGACAGAGTATAGATTCAGGGTAGAGAAGTCCAAGATTATGCGGCTTTGAGATTTGACGCCTATCACCAAAATGACCTTGCTGTGCGTTCATGGACCATTTTAGGCCACCGGAATTCCTTGGAGTAGCTATCACATGCTATCACCATGGTGCAAAGACCTGACAATGGATCAGAACAAATCCATCCAGATTGACAAAAACCAGATCGATTCAATGTGATTGTTTTTTTGGTGACTCGAACAGTGGATGAAGAGTGTATCGGTGGATGGAGCTTGTAACCTGGCAGTACTCTTAGAGTTGAAATGGTCGAGGTAAAGAACATCAGATCGAGATCGTCATGGAGCAAGAGAATCATTTGCGACTCGTCTTCGAGATCTCAGGCCTTTTGTCAGGGATTGGAGAGTCTTTTCTGCGGGAGTCGCAGCCACCAGTGGGAGGATCCAATCCGGTGCTGTCGATCAAGTGGTGTGGTTTGGCGACAGCCAGCCACTTTGGAACTCCAGTTCTGACCCAACTAGTGATGCTTGCCTCCATTGCGTGTCAGTGTGTGTGTGTGTCGGGATCAACAAGAAGACACCGCAACATGATTGAAAGAGATTCATTGCATCAGCTGACAGTTTGAGGGATGAGCACATGAGCAGGGGATGGCCGGGATGGCTATTATCCTATCTTGAGCACAAGATTTAGCACCAGCATGGTTGCTCACAAGCAACGACAGAACACTGATTCTTCATGAAAACCTCAGCACCAACCATCGAATTGCTGGCAACCCCAAGCCAGGGTTGGAGCACTGATGACTGCTGCCATTGTACTCGTTCAAGTAGGCTGTGCACGACGATGTAGCACGTGGTGCCTCCAGGTAGTTATACCGTTATACCATATATATATATAGATTATTATAGCACAGATCCTTCAAATGCCGGTGAAAACCATGGCCTCCCAGTAGTAACCTCCATGTGGCATATAGATCCCTTCACCTACCGGCGAGGCTCGTGGCCGACACGGGCGACATCATCAAGAAGGACGGCGTCATTGCGCCTTGGTTGGCACAGCTGGCAGGAGGTGAGTGGTTTTGTTTTGGTACTTCCATCTACTTCCACAGGTTGTCAAATAGAGATCACCAAGTCATACTGGTTTGGACTAGAGAAGTCACATGAAAGAGCTTGTCGATAGCTAGGCCTGCTTGGGATCGAAACCTGAGTCTCATGCCTGGAGGCCCTGTAGACACAGCTAGTGGACATGTGTAGGGTTTGTCCGAAGTTACCTGTAACAGTCAGTAAACAATTATATATCATCATGTCATTTTTGAACAAGGCCTGCGACATAACCATCATCATCCACCGGGCCCAGGTAATAGGATAGACCCAAGACATGTGTTCAATACCTGATTATCCACCCAGGAGATAGAGCTTACTGATCCATGTGAAGCAGCTTAGTGATCCGGCATTGTAATGATCTACATTGGCCGTTTTCGGCAGGAGGTTTCCATGCTGTCCTAAATCGGGTCTTCAAGCTGATACCCTTTTTTGTTCAGAAAGATTTGCCCACAGTGGGGCCCTCTGCCCTCTGATCAAGCTCCGTCCGCTTGTGGCACAATTGGCCCTTTTCTCCGCCCTGGATATTCATGGATTGTCAGTCGATATCAGTCGGAACCAGGCGTTTCTACGCCGTATTGGACGTTCCGGCGTTTTGTGGTAGTCGACTAGTAGTCGACAGGATTCACCATTCACCTCGATCACAATGATGTTTTCGGTCAGTAACTTCTCTCAGAATTGGATCATTGAGTGTGGGTGTCCAAATGATTTCCGTTCTTCGAAAGCATAGCATGCAAAGCTATCACCTCGCGTCGCAGCGGCTTGCAGGGCATGTTCGTGACGCCGGGATCCTTTGACATCCCCACCGAGTGGGCACATGATATCTGCAAGAAGTTGCATGCCATGGGCTACAAGAATCAGGCAGCTGCCAGTGCTTAGCTATACATGTTGTGCTGCGCGTGTGAGTCTCTTTGAGTGTGTTTTTGTGTTGAGAGTTGATGTGAGTTGATGCTCTCTGCAGGTTGAAAAGGGGCAGATCGATCAAGTGTGCCCCATGTTTCATGTAACATTCAAGTGAGAATGGAGTTGCCGCTAGACTAGACCGGTTCCGCAGTAGAAACATGCAGAAACCCTTGTGGGGAAACGGATCACACGGATCCCGACGCCGCAGGCAATCGATTTGGAGTTCATCTTTACCAAGGACGGGCCGCAGGTGGTGGAAATCAACAGCCGCTACAGCTCCTGGGCAACAGGCAAGCGATGATATGAACTTGAAATGCCAAGGACAGAGGTCTTCCAATCCAAGGCTAAATGTGCTTTTAGAAACTATGGTGTTGCTACTTTGCTACTCTTTTGCACAAAATAATGTGCCCTGGTGTTAGAGATTCCTCATCCATTTGTTTTCTCACTAGGTTAGAGATGGTCAGAGTGAGCAATTCTGCACAGCCGCGAGTTGTACTTCTCCCCCAAGCCTACCCAGTCAGTGGACAACCTTTCACCTTTCTTGGGATTGGTTTCTCCACTGAAGGCATAAACAGGTGGAAAGTTCGGGTTTGTCTAATTATTATCCGTGATCTCCGGCTTGGGGGTCAGCAAGAAGACCAGCCAAATGAACATTTAAAACTCCTCCCCTTTGGGGTGACTTACATACGTAATCCTTTTCATTCTGAAAACAAGAAGCTACTAGGAACAAGTGCATCGCTACTAGTAACAAGTGTCTTACTAGTAGTAACAAGAAGCTACTGGGAACAACACCTCTTTGGAGCCACAAACTCACGGGATCGACGGACAATTCCTCGGGAGCCCGAGCCAAGAGTCCTCCGGTGCTTCGGTGAGCTGGTCTTCGGCCCTGGCGCATCCAGTACTCGACTGGCGCGAGGAAAGCTAGGTCACCTGAGGAAAGTGAGGAAGGTCAAGTAGATCCACTAAGACCTCAAAGTAGCATGTAAGACTCTGTAAGACCTCAACGTCTGAGGGTTTCTTCTTTGCTCAGGCTACATGGGCTACTGGTCCTGGTGACATGGGCCGCAAGAGGGTCGCAACGGGGGATCAGGAGGTGAAATGCAGGAGTAAACTCTTGATGAACAGGACCTGGAAAGCATTCACATGCCAAGCTGCCAAGCTGAACCACTGTCGTTGCACCAGGCAGTGCCTTTTGTGTGGTGACCTGGTGCTACTGCGATAGGCGGGAGCGATTTGAGGCGCTTCCCAGTGGTAACTATTATTCCGGGGCCTTTTACGGACAGCTAGCCGGCAAACCCATCCCATGAACCAACCTTTGGCCCGGTCAAACATTAGAAGCAATCGATGACGCTCAAAATGTGAATCTCAAATTGCTTCGTGGCGCTTGCTAGAATGGCCCATCTTCCCGAAGAAAGCGCGATTGAAGCCCGAAGACAATGGCAGATCCTCTCAGTTCACGCTGTGACGGAATTCCTGCCGCTCGAACTGATCCATCCACTTCACCGGAACCCTGGACAAGTGGCTCCACACCTCGCTGAGGTATGAAGTCCAGTCCGAGAGTTCTCAGCTGAAGCACAAGGCGGACCTCCGGAACCTGGAGAACCGCGCCCCGGTGCTTCCAAGATCTGCCGCGAACTGGGGGCGGGTCAAAAGGGGAGGGAAGGAGGTCGTTCGCGTTCGTTTGGGTTTCTTGGCTCACAAGTTCTCCAAGAATCTCTTAGGCCTGGGAGCTGTGGATGCGTATCGCTGTAGCATAAGACCCCGCTTTCCTTGCTCCTCACCTTTGGATCCTTGTAGCAGCAGGGGCCTATGTTTCAACTTCTGCTCGCTTTCTCATTCTTTCTCCACGATGGCCTCCAACCTACGTAAGAACGATGGCGCCGGTGCTTCACCGGCCAAGTTTGTTGATCTTCCATTTATGGGCTGGGCCAGATGGCCCGGAAGTGAGATCCATGGTCAACGCAAGGGCCAGTTGCCACTGACAAAGATGACCATGCACATAGAATCCACCAGCTTTCGAAGGGAACAACTTCAGCGGCACTTGACTGCAGCAATGTTTCACTGCGCGGCCTGGTAGGGGTCAGAACCATGCCCAGGCGTGCTTCCGGCCCAGGCGTTTGCTCTTGCCTCGGCTTGCCGTGTCCGAAGTTCCCCTCCGATACCAATGTCGTCAGCAAGCTCGCAGTGGCAATTTACACCACCAAGGGCGGGAAAGTGGAGGACCTCCTCCAAGGTCTTCCAGTCGTCGCCCGCTCATAGGGCCAGGCGGTGTATTTTTGGAGGGCGCCGCATGGTCTACAGAATAGACCAGATATTTTATTTTTCGGCGGATAGATCATCCTGTTGGTGTTTGAGGGAGTGAAAACCACCGGTCAGTAGATGCGGGGTAAAGGCTTTTCCACTGGAACAAGGTCGTGAATCAAGGATGGAGGATGAAATGGGTCTAACATGTGTGTGTGTGTTGCTGCCAACAGCCATTGGACATTTGCAGAAAATATGTTATCGGTACGTGATTGCATGATTTGTATGCATTTGCATGGCTGTGTGCAAGTCATTCAAAAAAACATACATATTGAACTGTTTATGTTTGCTTAGGAAGTTATGCACCGCATCCATGTCCCTAATGTAGCTGAGCCTGATAATGATCCTCAGCAAACAACTGTGTTGTTGACACCGGCCCATGATGCGTAATAACGCAGATTGTCATCGCAGAGGTCTCCGTCATCTTGTGGCAGAAGGGATCTCTTGTCCATCAGAAGTATTGAAAACGGCCAGGACATTGTTGACCTGGACTTTTTGAAGAAGTTCGTGGCGGAGGGCTATGCTGAGTGCTGGACACCAAAGCCTGCCTTCAAGCAAGGCTGTAAAGTCGGGGAGAAAGGATATGTCAAATACATAGTACGGATATGTATGGATGATGTGACCATAATTATCTTCCAGTAAAATCTATACTGTAGTAGTTTAACTTAATTTGTAGTAGTGCTATTCGCAGCAGTTCTGTTGGACAGTGGCCACATCCAACAAAGGTCCCACTTCAGCCACTTGTCTCTTCATTGTTTGGGACGAAGTCATACGTTACAATGAAGCTGCCAAGGAAAGAATTGCTTAGATGATTGAGTTAGATTTTCAGAATCGTCCAAGTTAGGTTTTCGATCTGCACATTTTTCCCAAAAGACTTCTCGCCTGAAAGAGGTTCTTCTGTTAGACCCAGAGCCATGCCTACAGCACCACCATTACAAGCATCATGATGACTGCCCTGGCTTGTTTGCAAAGCCAAGAAAACGGTTGCGGGGCAGGTTTTATTCCTCCTGAGGCGGGTGCGGCTGTGTTCGGGCGGCAACTCTGGGGTGATTTGTTCAAGCATCACTCAGTTTTGAACGTCCTCCAATAGATCTTAGAACGGATTGTGCCAACCTTGATGTTCAATGAAGAAACCTCCTGTAGTTAGTACTCAGTAGAGATGGATCTGTGGAAAGGGCTTGTTGTCCATGATGCAGGTTAAGTCTCCCAACTTTGGAATCTCGATAGATGAGAGGAATAGCAGGAGAGTGGATTAAAAAATCCTTTGCGCGCAACAACAGGGAAGATCAGTTTGGGGGGACACGAGAACGCCAAGGAATCTGGTTGAGATATGTTGAGATCCGATTTTATGCTTAGGTTGAACGCTATATACATAGTCCTTCTAAAACAGGCGGTCTCAGACTTAGCGAACGCCCCTTGCTGGACCAACAGCCACATTGATTTGCTAACAGTCATTGAGTTTGACTTCACTGGGCGTGGTCAGACGCGTCGGTTTGCCAAAGGGTGGATAGACAAACTTTGTTTTGGCCGAAGTCCTGTGTTCTTGCCGGAAAGGAGGAATGAAAGCCAAAGACAACGTTTTGCAATTTGCTTTCATTGGGTTTACTGTATGTTCATCCATGTTCCTCCTTTGGCTCCCAAACAGTAGGGCTTCACAATTAGCAAGTTGCTTGCTCTATTTGCTTTTGATCATCACCAATCGTCACCATTGCTGCAAACAACAGTATATAATTTAAAAGAAAACACCGGCTTCAGATACTTTATGATCAACCTTTACTTGGTTGACTCCACTGGCTAATATTGTTCGGTTGAAACCACCAAGCAGAACACTCGGACTACCCAACATACCCAAGCATCTCCAAGCACCTCCCAAATATGACCAACACTCCATCTCCCACTCCATCTCATGACCTCCTCATCCACACCGGGGCTCGAAAGGAATTCGTCTACGGCGGGGGCAAATGGGCGAAGCTGGGCTTCATGATGTTGACGGCGAAGCGCACGGACTTCGAAGCCACCAACGCCAAGCTTCGGGTCCCTGAGCCCAGTCCGTGCGCAGATCGTGTTGTGCGCTGCTGGTGCCGCTGCCGCGCTGGGGCATGGAATGGGTGAATGTGGGTTTGGAAGAGGTGTTACTAGGTTGGAGGATGTTGGAGGCCATCGCTTCTGGGTTGGAGGCCATTCCAAGTGTTAGCTTGGAGGTCATCGCTACTAGGTCTAGAAGAGTCTAGAATCTTCTAATAGCTTGGAAGCCTGTATTTTGAATCTCGCCCCAGTGGGTAGTCAATGTTCCGAACCTTCAAAGGGGTCGATCTGGTGGTCTCCGTATTCTATAAACACCCATTTGTAGTCTCTTGATGTTTGAACCACCTCCCCAAGCCTGAGGAGCTATTGCATGTCTGGGGGTTTTATTCATCACTGGTCTACATCATGCTGGTTGATGGGAGGTACGTGGAAGAGTCGAGTTGGTGGGATAATGTGGAAGGGATGACGAGTTGGTGGCTTTGGGCGGTCAAAGACCAAACTACTTGCCCCTACTGAAGAACATTCTAATGGCAAACATCGTTACTACTAGTAAGGCACTTGTTACTAGTAGCGATGCACTTGTTCCTAGTAGCTTCTTGTTACTGGTTTGGGTTTATGACTTCAAATATAACTCCATTGTTATGCACACACTGAAGAACATCTCCGAGAAACGACCCCTTCATCAGTGTGCCTGTCCAACATGATTGGGCACTCGTTGCAGGGGGATTGTGAAGCTTTGTGTATTTGTTTTCTGGGCAAGGGGCGCATGATGATTGCAATCACTGAGGATATGTACACGAAGATGTTCAAAGAGCCCAACAGCTACCTCCTTGCGCAGGACATGTGGACGTCCGACGGAACTCTTTCTGCGCTTTCGCGTCGCATGTGAGGCGAGCCACAGTGGCTCAATGTAGGCGAGCGCACGGGACGAAGTCATTCAGGAACGAGCAACTCGAAGACACATACCCTTCCCTCAATCAAGTCATGAGTATCTACCTTTCACATGTGGTGATGCAATTGATGTTCTGTTTGAACTATATGTTCAAATGTTCCAAAGGTATTATAGGCTCTATAGTGCCATACCATTTGCCATTAAGACAACTTTCGCTGAATGTCGTGATCCCACCATGCAGTGTTCAGCCTGTCAGGATGATGAGATCGGGTATGCCGTGGACAAACATGCCATCGACTACTAGGGTGACAGAGCATGCCTTCGACTTCCGCCGTGGCCTGGGTTCTGCATTTCAATCGATCAGACACCAGCCACATTTCGGAATCAAAAGACCAAAAATTACTCAGGAGCAGACTCAAATAGCCCAGCTTGTGCTCCAAGTCTGCTCCCACTGCGATCCACCCAGCTTTGCAAGTTGGACGGAAGGAATGAGCGAAGCTGTTCCTCCGTTACCGCTTGTTCTCTCGGCCGCAGGTGTGAACTGTGGGAAGTTCGTTTGGCGATGAAGGGTTGAACGGAGTTGCAGCGATTCGATGCGATTCGTTTCAGAGATAGCTGGCTTGATCTTCCAATCATAGACCCTTCAAGTAGTGAACGTGTTCCATATTAATTTTTGTTCTTTTTAAAACAGGTTTCTTGGGGCTCTGCTCAGTAGCACTCTTGGTGAAAAGGGTTGGCTCCCCCAGGTGTCCAAACACGGTCCTTTTTGGAACACCTTAAGCCTTACGCCCTGGAAGAACGTGGAACCTGAAAACCACTTGTTTGTGAAGGAAACTAGTCTTCCAAAGGTCCGTTTTGAGCTTCCCTATTATATTCATCATATTGGTGTAACGGTGTAACGTCTTTCTTTGCAGTGTTCAGGCCTGATGGGGGTTCGTGATGGGGGTGCCACCATGTGCCATGAAGCCGTTTACCACAATAAATACTAAAACAAAGAAAAGACAAGTAAATATACTTAAAATTGAGTTAAATGCTTATTTAACAGGTCCTAGTAGCGTCCTTGTTACTACTAGTAAGGCACTTGTTACTAGTAGCGATGCACTTGTTACTACTTGCAATGTTTCCACGATCGGTCACAGACATTGCTCTCACACCTTTGCGGTCTGCGGGCGGTCTGCGGCGTCGCCGTCGCGGTCGGTGAAATCGACCGAAAGGTCGGGCTGCCAGGGTGGCCAGAACCGATGGTGGTCGAAGGCTTTGGAAAAACCCGGGTGAAGGAATCGAACAACAAAATAGAACTTGTGGAAGTGCATGGCAACAACCAGGGGTGAATTGGAAAAGTCCCCTGATAGACGCCGAGTATACAGGGCCTTGGCTGGCGGGTTGTTGGTCTTCTAGAAATCACGTCATCCACACAACGTGAAAAGTGTACGGATGCAAAGTTGAAGACATCTCTGGCCGATTGAAGCTCCGTTTTTGCAATATGATCTCTTTTGATCATTCAATCAAGTGAGTTTTCTGTATTCCTCGAAGGTCTGACAGTGGCACACCGTGGCAGACGCTCACTCTGCGTATGCAGTTCGTGTGCCTCGTGTGGCTCCGCCCTGTGCGGCGCGCTCCACAGCGCTTGCACCCAACGCCTCATGAAAAGCTGTGTGCGGCGCTCGCAGCGCTGGATGAGAAGAGCATCTGGATGGGCCAACACTGTGCGACGCGACTAGGGAGAGTTGAAGATCCATGTTTCTTCTTTTCAACAAACAGGAGAATGTATACCATGCGGTTGTTTGTGATCTTCGTCTTGAACTCTGGGAATGCTGAACTCACCACAAATGTTCAAAGCGATGGCACTCATGCAGAGGTTTTCTAGTACGCAAGGACGCTACTAGGGGCTCCTGGCATTACTACTACTAACAAGAA